ACTTTTTACATGGTAGAAGAATCATATCTTTCCTCAAATAAGTAAAAAATATGCCAATGTTGCACTCCTTGCTGATCCATTGAATTTGTATTATGCATTGAAGTCCATGGATGCTATGAAGTAGAAGAATGCCATAGAAGAAGAGTACAAATCATTCATAGAAAATAGAACATAAAAATTGACTCAACTTCTACCAAGTCAATCTTCAATTGGTTGTAAGTAGGTGTTTAGATCCAAAAGAGATGCAATGAATAATGTTGTGACATACAAGACTAGGTTGGTTGCCAAACAACAATCACATGTTACTGGATTTAATTTAAATGAGATATTTGCTCCTATGGCTAAATTCACAACGATTAGAACCATTGTGGCAATTGGGGCAGCAACAGCCTTGGAAATGCATTAAATGAAAGTAAAGATAGCTTTCTTGAATTATAAGTTGAAAGAAGATATGTACATGGATCAACCTCAAGGATTTGTTGAAAATGGCAAATAAGACCTTGTTTGTAAGTTGAAGAAATCCTTGTATAGGCTCAAGCAATCTCTAAGGGTATGGTATCAATATATTGATACATTCTTTGTGAATAAAGGATTTGTAAGGAATGAAGTTGATTATTCTTTATTTGTCATGTAATCAAATGAGTTCATATTGATTGTCATCTTCTATATTGATGATTTGATCATCTCAACCAATATTGTGAAGATGATGGATTGGTTGAAGGTAAAATTAGAAAAAGAGTATGAGATTAGTGATTTGGGAGAACTTCACTATTGTTTAAGAATGGAGTTTGTAAGAGATCATGCTAAGAAGACCATTACAATAAGCCAAAATAAGTACATTGAAGACATGTTGAAACGATTCAACATGGAGGAGCGTAAGCCTATTAGAACACCTTTGGAGGCCAATTTGAAGTTGATGAAGCTCACAGAAGAAGAGTTTGCTGAAGTTGAAGGTTAAATGCAAGGTGTTCCATACAAAGCTGTAATAGACTCACTAATGTATGCAATGGTTTACACAAGGATGAATCTTGCATATGTGGTGAGTGTTGTGAGCCAACACATGTCAAAGGCTAGATCAATCCATTGGGCAACTATCAAAAAGATCATGAGATACTTAAAAGGTAGTTTGAATTTCAAATTATATCTTGGAGGTGATAACATTACTATGCATGATTATTGTGATGCGGATTGGACTTGAGATATAAATAATAGAAGGTCAACAATAGGATATGTATTCTTTGTTGGAGTGGAAGCAATTTCATAGAATTGCAAAAGACAACCAACAATTGTAAGGTCAGTAATAGCAGCAAGGTATGGTGCAATGGAGGCAATATAGCTAAGACAACTTTTGGAGGACATTAGAATAGTGCAAATGGAAGCAACTCCAATGAAGTGTGACAATCAAGGATGTCTTTCTTTTGCAAAGAATCGAAAGCATCATTCAAGGATCAAGCACATTGACATTCAATATGTCTTTATATGAGAGAAGATTGAAATGGAAATAATTGATATGAAGTATTGTGCAATAGAAGACATGCTTACTGATTTGTTGACAAAAGCATTAATAAAGGATAGACATCACATGTTCACAAAGGATTTAGGATTGAAAATCCTTTGACTAATAGCAAAGTTGGAGTGTTGAAGTAAGTAAGTAAAAATAGAATAAGTTACGTAGTAAAAGGTATTACTTTAGGTAAGTTGCTAATGGTCAAAGGATTAACTCTTGGTATATGGAAAGGTATCCTATAGATATAGGACGAGGTCAAGGACTAAGAGTCAAAGTCAAGAGGATAAAGTATGAATTAGAGAATATCCAAAGACTAGATAAGAATAATTAGTGTTTGGCATAGGATACCCTTGTGGTTAGTAAGATGCCAAAGGATCTTAGGACCTAGGATCATATGTATAAAAGTCAAAGAGTAGAAGTTCTCTTGTAGGAGATCAACCACAACCTATAAGTATTGGGTGTTGGAAGTGAGAGATATCTTGCTTCATACTCTCTGTGTGTGCAATCTTGTTGATTTTATGTGTTGTGACTTCAAAGCAATAAATTAGACATAATTTTTTGTTAAGAAAGTATATTTTTAATAATATTTTAGTATCTTGAGAGACTATTAATTAGACATAAATGTCATTGTTTGTGTCTTTATTTATTTATTTATTTTATTTATTATTCTATAGATTATATTAAATTAAATCATTTAAATAAGATATTTTTTTATTTTTTCAATATTACAAGGTATTCTTTATTATATACATAATAATAATAATTCAATTGTATCATTTTTTTTTGTTACTTTTTTATTTTCTTATGTCACATAAATTAATTATAAGACACTTATTTTCATAGAAGTTATTAAGTTCAGTAAAAAACATCTAATTAAATATTTAAATATTAATAATAAGAGTAAAAATATTTCATATTTTGCTTCAAATCGGTACATTGCAAAATGGTGTGGCAATTTTAACATTTACATGTACATCTAAATTAAAATATATAGATTTACTAAAACAAATCTGAATGTTACGATCCAGGACCTTCAAACCAGGTGGTCTGGTTTTTTCCAACAAACACAAGCAAGTAAACATTCTGCAATTGGTCATAACAGCTACAGACATCAAGCTTTTTCTCTCTTATTGAAGATCACACAAGGCACAACATAGAAATAATGAAAGAAACAATAAAGAAGAAAAAGAGAAGGAAGAAAAAATGCTGTCTATATAAAAACAGAGATATAGTCGGGTAGTACGATCGTGTACCCAGTCAGTTTGTTCTTCATGCCACGCCAAAGCCCAAGTACTGTTTTCTTTTCCTTTTATATATATATATATATATATATATATATTTTCCTCACTTTTGATAACCATGAATCTTTCCCACTCCACGATTCGCAACACATCCCACATCTCGGCCTCATTGGAGATGCTGTCTGGAACGGGGAAGAAATCGAGAGGATCGGCACAAGGAGAAATCAGCACTAGTACTCTAACCTTGCCCACAATCGCTGAAGGAACCACTATGCACGAGTCATTGCACACACAATGATAAAATAGGAATGAGAAGAAAAAAAGAACTTCGAACTACTGTGGACACTGAAAACTTGCCGGAGCCGCAGAGCAGCTTTTGATTTAGATTTCCAATTGCTGCTTAGATGCTTTTCCTCATTAATCGCACTAACAGCCCGTCAAAAGTGGCTTGGACTGGGACCCCTTCATTGGCTGAATCATCCTGGTGGATGGAGTCCAGGTACATAAACAGTCGATGGTCATTACAGTGTAGTGGCAGGAGACTTGCTATTTGAAGGGTTAAAGATAGTGATTTCTGTCTTTTATGGTGCAAGTATTGTCTTGATTCATGGACCGTTTAGACAGCCTGTGAGTGTCTGAGCAGTGCTATGGTTTTAAACAATGCTTCATGTCTGGACAAGGTTTAGCGAATCAGTATATTCGAAAGATGTGCTTCGCAATCATCATCTTGGTACCATAGTTTATTGCGAACTCTTGGGTGTTATGGAGATCGATCACTTGAGGTTTTACGAGGAGTTCCGAGGTGGAGAGAGATCCTCGAAATGGGGGAGAATCTTTCTCACCCAGACGGAGCTACACAACGGAATATATTCAGGATGCTGTCTGAATGTCCAAATTTGAGGTGTGACATGGTAGCCACGATCACGGATCGTTTAAGTGAACTTGTAAACTCCGACAAGACCTTTGGCACAATCGATAGGTTCCCTTGTACTTTGTTTCAGCAATAGCGGAGGACTTTACATCATCTTACAATTCTTTCCGTTAGTTGGCCGTCAATGTTACCATTCTGTCGCTTACAAAGAATGGCGATGCTTAGGAAATAAGAATCGTATATTCACATGCTTGATCGTCGTTAACCTTACGGTCAGGGATGATTCTCGCCCATGGTTTCGTTAACCCACCTTGCAGGGAAGACTCACCAGGTGGGAATAGACTATCGGATAGCTAATGTTGCCGCGACTCGATCAAATGGGTCCACCAATACCTCCATCATAGTTCTTTCAATTTACGACGGGGCAATGGGGAAACACCCAGAAGAAAGTAGTGTACAGCAAGGGAAGAACATCTAGATCCGCTAATTTTACATTAAGTGCATTTCAATCAGCCTTAGATATGCTACAAACTGAAATCTGAATCCAAGTGAGGTTTCGAAGTCCTCAAACTAGATTCGAGATCCATGGAAGGGGAACGGGCACGGTTATTATAAAATAAGCTATACGCTCATATTGCCGATTCAAAATTGCGTCAGTGTAAAGAATTGAGTCAACGTGGACCAAGCAATAAGCTGCGGTTGGTAATGGAATTCATCGAATCTTGGCTGCCCTACCAAACATCTACCTCTGCTAAAAAAGAGTGTTCACAATACTGATTATTGAAATCCACCTTCAGCTGGTGGTAGATCGGGTGTTGTCGTGCCAAAGCAGTGTTACGATGGGTGCTCTTTCTTCCGCATGGTTTTTCTGACTAAATTCTGTCCGTGCTGGGGATCTTTTCCAGATAGACTCTGATAAAAGCGCACACGTGTATTCTCTCAGATACGTATTATGTTAGGTTGCCCACTCGGCACCATTACACAACATTGTGACTGCTCGGCTTAGCAGCTTGTTTCGATCAAGAAGGGTGAATTTTTTTGTCTCAGATCCACATTACGTCACTCTGACCAAGAATGATATTCTAATTCCGTTAGAGTTCGGAAGTCACTTGGCACAGGCATTCCATCAAGGCATATTCTAGTTTGCTCACTTGCTCACTAATCCACGAGCTGTCTGAGTGTCGAGCAAGACAAAGTTAATTGAGAAAAAGACGTTGAGACTGGTTCATCGGCTGAGAACCTCAGAAAAATCTGCTCCCCAGGAGTGCATCGTCACGAATTAGTCAACGATCATTCTGAAAGAAAAGCATCTGTTCTCTTGAGTTCATTCTCGAAATGCCGCATCTTCAGGATCTGGTCAAAGTAATCGTAGTTCAAACAAAAGATACTTATTGTCATCACTAATTTCCTCACTCTGCAACAGATGCGGGTTGTCTCATTTCTTATCCTCGTGAACTCCACTGCCACCACTTTCACCATCGCATCAGTCGTCATCGCTGTGAATCCCTTGCTTGTCCTTGAAAATGGCCATGTCATCTTGCTCCCCTTGGTGGCAGGCGATTGGCAGTGTAGTGGTTTCAATGTGTTTACTCCAACCCAACATTGGGCGCCGCGATGCCGACGCCAATGATTCTTAGAATACAATTCTCTCGCCGCACCAATGCAGTATAAGTTCGCGTCTGCTACCTGAGGTTGTCGCCGCTTTCTAAGCTGGACTCACGTCGTCGGAACCCAGGCTTCTGGATTATACGGTAGGTCAAGTTAGTGTTCGGGAGTTTCAGGAGCTTTGGAACTTTAGTGGTAAGCCCTCCACTTGAATTCAGTTGAGTTTCCGTTGAGTTGAGTTTGTGCAGCTTCTTCACAACGGTTAATGTGCAGACTATATTCTATGCTTGCAATACTACAAGATACTGTCGTATTGAACGCCTCCTACTAGCTTATTCGTTTGTCTCCCTTGTGACTTGCTTGTTGGTTGAGCCTAAGTTTGGACATATTGCAGGTGGTAATACATGTCATGAGGTGGTGAGTCTGAGTTGCTTGCGACTCTGATTGATATGAAGTCGGTGGTGAGCCTACTCCTCGAAACCGGCGGTAGAGCTTTTGTGTTGGACACATACTTGCAGCGCATAATTAAGGGCTCAGGAATCTTGTAAAGTGACGGTTCGGTGGCTGGTGAATATTAGTACATGACCGCTGGGTGGACGTTATCTTACTCATGTGTCTGGCAATCTCTCAAAGCAACTCATTGCAACGATTGATTCGGACCTTCGGGTGTGTTCAAGTGTAATTTTCATGAATCGGCGGCTCGACCGTCACGCGGGGTCTTGTTGATCATTTCCCAGCTAGATAGGGTTATCCTCAACTGGCTCACCATACCGCTGATGATCTCCTGGAAAGCACTGAAATTGTAATCTCCGAAGTGTGATTCTTTTTCTCAGCTTCAATCCATTACTTCCGACAAGATGTATAACACGCAGATATGTGTAGCCGGATCTTGTTCTCACTTCGATTTATGCCAGAGTAGAGAAACTGCGGAATCCAACGTCCAAGACTCAGCCCACGCCCAAACCTCCATTTGGAAGCTAGTGCCCACGAACACCGGGCCATCCGTGCAGCGCTAACGCTGTTCGTCTAAAAAACCTAATACATCTGATTACTTTAGTTGGCGCACTCTGATCGTGGTGAGCGAGCTTGCAAAGATGGAGAAACTGGCTAACAAGTTTCTGGTGACTATGGGGATTAAGAAGCAGCTCCAGAGGAAATACTCCTCCACCAGCAGCAACATTCTAAGCCACGCTTATAGCAGTGGCATACTGCCTGCGCTTGGCAGCAGAGCTAGCATCAGCAGCCGTAACATTGTCCTCAACAAATATGTTATCCACCCGCACAATCACCGATACAGGTAATACGCTTATGCATTCTTTCAAGTCTAATTATCTAATCGAAGATTCTAATAATCATGATTAGCGGACCTAAGTAATCTGTGTTTAGATATTTGTACGGGTTCACCGAGGAATAAACTGTGGTTAAGTGTCCGAATGTGCAGATTGTGGTGTAACTGGTTGATTTTGCTGGTGTTCTACTCGGCGTGGGTATCACCTTTCGAGTTCGGATTCATCGAGGATCCCCGTGGAGCTCTTTTTACCGCGGACATGATTGTGAACGGATTCTTTGCAATTGATATCATTTTGACCTTCTTCGTTGCCTACCTTGACTCAGAAACGTACTTGATGGTCGACAGTTTTAGGAAAATTGCTAAAAGGTAAGTTTGTGCATCAATTGCTCGCTTTCTCACAACCTACCCATTTATTCAATACCTCATTGCATTGAATTGAATTAATCAGGATAGCAAGCTTTCTGCTGTAAGTTAAGATGCCAGCCTATCATACTTCATGTCTAAAGATATGTGGCCCGAACCGTGGCAGATACTTGACAAGCACATGGTTCACTCTGGACGTAGCGTCGACTGTGCCGTTCGGGTTGCTTGCTCTGGTATTCACAGGGAAATATGGAACAGGATTCACGTACAGTCTCATCAATATGCTCAGACTTTGGCGATTGCGCCGAGTTAGTGCCATGTTTGCAAGGTACGAGCCTAACTCTTGTAAGTCGGTGCAAGTACTCACTGGAAACAAGAAGATTTTACATTCCGAGGCAGTAGCAGTAACCATCAATGTTAATTTTGCAAGCTCATTTTTGTTGCAGGTTTGAGAAGGATGTGCGCTTCAGCTATTTCTGGATCCGCTGCATCAAACTATTTCTGGTGAATTTGCCTATCGAAAAGTTGATAAATTGTGTGCGCAATGCAGCGGGGTTGGGCTCTGAAGCCGTGAGGTTAATGCTGCTGGTTATGACTCTGAGGAACTTAAGCGACATGCATTGATTTTGAATGGTATTTGATGGGTGCAGGTGACGGTGTTTGTGTGTCATTGCGCTGCTTGTTTCTACTATCTGCTAGCAGCGCGGCACCCGTCACACAAAGAGGCGGAGACATGGCTGGGGGCGACCTTGCCCAACTTCCCAGAGGAGTCGCTTTGGACGCGCTACGTGACCAGCATCTACTGGTCGATTACGACGCTCACAACTGTAGGGTATGGCGATCTGCACCCAGTTAACCAAGGGGAGATGATTTACGACATCTTTTTCATGTTGATGAACTTAGCCCTAACCGCTTACATCATTGGAAACATGACCAACTTAATCACACAACTCACAGCACGCACCCGAGCCTTTGTAAGTTTTTACCAGCTAGTGATTTCAGTCTGGAGCTGCTTTAATACTGTGTGTGTGTGTGTGTGTATGTATGCATATATATATATATATATATACACATATAAATGACGACGCCGGTAAATCCCCTCGACATTTTGTCTAAATCGGCATATGTTGGAGTGATCAACAGCGTGATTCTGTGCAAGCAGTGACAGACTTCGCCACCAGGAACCAGTTGCCTTTCAAGCTACACGAGCAGATGCTTGCCCACATGCAGCTCAAATTCAAGACAGACAGCTTCCAGCAGCAAGGTACAATGGCGGTGCTTCCCAAAGCCATTCGTTCTTCCATCGCTCAATACTTGTTTCTCGAAACGGTGGAGAAAGTGTACCTCTTTCACGGCACTTCTTACAACTTTCTTACTCAGCTGGTGCGTACACTTCCCATTTGATAAATTGCAGCTCCTTCAGTCCGTTACATTATGGATCATGTGGAATGCTTAGTTGAGATGGTGGTGAATCTAGGTTACTGAAATGAAGGCCGAGTACTTCCCTCCGCGCGAGGAGATCATCCTCTTCAACGAGGCGCCCTCGGAGTTCTACATTGTCGTTAATGGCTCAGTCGTGAGTTGATTGCCATGCCTCACCCTTGTCTTGAAATATTTGAGTTATGGCCGTGCTATCTCTTGTTGATATAACTTCTTGTCTCCATGGGCTTAGTTGGAGTTTGAAGGCTCTTTGTTGGTGTATTGCAGGACGTTATAACGATGAAGGATGCTTCAGAGCAGGTAACAGTCTGTCAGTTTGGATTGTTTACATTACAAAGACTGTGGTCCTCAATGCGGATGGTACTAAACGGATTTTTTGAATTTTTGTTGCTCACGTGGTCAGATTTTGTTCACTGCCGTCACGGGGGATGTAATAGGTGAGATTGGCGTGCTGTGCTATATGCCTCAGCCCTTCACTGTGAGGAGTCGAAAATTATCGCAGCTCCTGCGGCTAGACCGCTCCGTGTTCATGAATGTGGTGCAGTCATTCCAGGAGGACGGGCAAAGAATTGTGGACAATCTGCTCCAGGTAAAGTGACATCTCAGATCACATGTAAAACTCCCAATTAAGAAGATACATGGTTATAGAGGTAACTGGATTCTGGTTTCAATTGGAAGTGAAGGTGAGACCTGAAACGTGAAGGTTTTGTCGTGATTGCAGCGTTTGAGGGAGTCGGACGATCCACGATTTGAGGAACTTTCGTCCGATATAGAGGCGCTCCTAGCGGATGGAGGCGAAATGTCGATAAGTTTATGCTCTGTGGCTGCAGGAGGAAATGTAGTGGTTATGGAACAATTGTTGAAGGGTGGCGCGGACCCTAACAAAGCCGATTACAGTGGTCGCACACCCTTGGTATGGTGCAATTGAACCCACCGCCATAAACTCCTTACATACTTATACTGTCTTGAACTAAGTGTGACAGCAGTGAATTTGCCTTATATCGGTGGGATTCTTAAATTCATTGCTGTTTGGATGGAGTGGTGAGCAGCTCATAGCATCCACAAAGGGCCACCTCGAGTGTGTGAAGCTGCTCTTGGAGCACAAGGCCGATGCTAACCAAGCAGGTTCGTAGATAACTTAGATTTAGGGTTCAAAGTTTCATACCACAGCTGGTTAGAGTGCTGATTTTGTCTCGAGTATGAATAACGCTATGGCCATGGCGCAAGTACAGATGTGGACGGGAAAGTACCGTTAGTAGAAGCGCTGATTGCCCGGGATCCGACAACGGTTAAGCTTTTATGGGAGCATGGAGCCACTTTGGAAAACGCCGACAAGGGGCAGCTCTTGGGCCAGGCCGTGCAAGACTGTAATGTGGATCTCATCGAGGACTACCTTAAATATGGCGCCAGTATTGACGAGGCGGACGACGAGGGCCTCACCGCTCTTCATGTAGCTGTACTGCATGGCCAATTGGATATGATGAAGTTTCTCCTTTCCAAGGGTGCCGACCCTAATAAGGAGAGCAACGGCCTCCCGTCGCCACTTCAACTAGCGGAACAGAACGTTGATGATCCCATATTGACCAAGCAAATGATTTTATGTATGAAAGTCGAGAATGCAGGAGAGCGTGTTGGAACATTGACTGAAGGAAGCAAGGATACTATTCACCCTGCTACGCCTCCGAAGACATCGCCTCATGGGAGTGGCAGCAATATCTTAGCTAATGATGCGATTGCATTCCCACGTCTGAAAAAAACCCACAGTGTCGAGTTTCAGCTGTTTCCTCGGCCTGATACTTCACCAGTTCGGCCCAAACGATCTGCTCTTAGTCGAAACTCACAGAAACACCCAGCGATCAATACTTTGATGCAGAAGCAGTCCGCTCGAGGGCGTCGTGCGGGCTCTTTGGGACACAAAGCCTTGCAACAGTTGCATATCAATCCTTGGGGTCGACGACAGAGAACTATTGGAGATATTGATACGTCAAACGCGCCTCAGTCCAATTTAACTCTGGACGCACCTTCTTTTAAGCGTGTAACGATTCATCCTTACAATCCGCATAGCAAAGGAGGCTTCTCTTCAGGAGTCGGGAAGCTCATTACCTTGCCGAATTCCATTGCCGAACTTCTGGAGATTGCAAGTACGTGCTAGACTTCGAGATGTAACAATGTTACAACAATACTGGCGATGTTTTAAAATCAAGTATACTTTGACTAATCTTTCTTATACACTTTCCTTATGAACTTACTCCCACGATTGCAGACGCTAAATTCCAGAACCAGCCAACCAAAGTAGTCAACAAGGACGCGGCGGAGGTGGACGACATCGCGGTCGTCCGAGACAATGAACACTTGTATGTGATCTCCGAGGATCAAGCGCGAACTGAAAAACAAGGTAAGTCGATCCTCACCCACTATCTTGCTTTAAGAATGAAATACTATGGAATAACTGCATACCAATTGTTGAACCTGCTCTGTAATTCCCTGATTCACATGTGCAGAGTTTGATACGAGCGAGCTTGTTGCGAGCTTGCAATCGATCATTCAAGCCTTGTCCGCTTCGAAGGCGCCTTAGCATCACACATTAGTCATGTTTTGGATGTAATGCAAATCTTTTTCGAGCCCTGCAAGACTTTACGAAGTTGAAAAGGACAGGAGACGTTGAATAATGTCCGTAATCTGTGAGGTTTCTAGAGGGCTGCTCACCCTGAATGCAGAAACCAACCTAGTTTGGGAAGCAAATTCTAAACAAATGGTTCACACTGCACTTTTCACATTCCAAGGGCCAGTGTGGTTGGATAGACATGTCGTAAGAAAGGATAATAAAATGGTTATCAACTCTAGTCTTCAAAGCAGGTTTGCATTGACTCGTCAAAGTTTTATGATCACTGCAGCCACAAACAACGTCTACAAGTAGCTCAATAGAATCTTTACAGTTTGAATGATTGTCTCCAACACGAGCGTGCTACACAATCGTGTCAGCCCACCGGTCAGCTTTTGCCGTAGCACTACTTGTCACAGCGAAGAACTGTGTTCGGGCACAGCTTTGAGCAATTAACGCTCAGCCCAATGGTTAGACTCTGATTGTATTCGGCAGTCAAGCATTGAGACATGCAGATGAATCCTTTTCAATGTTGGAATTATATGTTTAATACAACCGTTCCAGAAAAAATCGTATAAACATAGCAACAGTAGTATGAAACATACAGTTTCGTATCTTGATTATTGTTTATACTAATTTAGTCTCATCGTATTATATCAGATAAAATTAGTGTAAACAGTAAACTAGATACAAAACTGATAGAGTTAATTCTATATTTTGAAATTGAGATATACCTTTGATTGCACACATTAATCTTATAAGAAGATTATGAACTCATTAATGATTTTTCTACCACAATTCGACATAAATTGTGCGAAAGGTAAATATCTGGGTATCTAGACATTTTTTTTTTTTTCTCAACTTAGTTTCTCAATAGGCCATCATCAGATCAAATTTTTCAACAAGATATCAGACGGATGAAAAAACAGTCAAGATAATTAAACCTTAATCAAACAGGAACACGAGACTATCCATACAAAATTGACTGACTTACTGTCCAACACTTTTCCAGAAAAATGACGGAAATCTTCAAAGAAAAGAATCGTTTATAACTGACTTTCAAATGGTACCTCCAGGATTGATTTGTGCATAGTACACACAAAAGAACTGTCAAGGAGTGTGCACAACAGAGTGCACTTATTCAGCTCTACACTGCAGGTTCTGACAAAGCCGAAGCCGGCGTTGCTGAAGCACACGCACACTGCATTTTAACAAGGATGCATGCACGAGTGCCAGGATCGACGATCCACTACGCCGGATTCTCGTGAATCGACTGGATTTGTTACTTCACCCTACTACCATTTTTCACACTCGTTGCCTCTTCACTTCTGCCGCATATGCTGTTCCCTGGTACCCTGAGGTGCTTGCCCCGTCAAGGACTATCACGCGCCGCCTACGACGCCGCGAGAGTGAACTTGCGGCAGTATGCTTCAGAACTCAGAACCCCTATGCCTCATACTCGACGGCGTGGTAATTGTGGGAGACGAAACTGCGCCCGCCGTTGTGAGCGCTCCATCCAGGGGACGATTGCAGCCCCCTGGACGTAAATTTGTCGACGCCGACAGGACCTCGAGTGCTTTCACGTCCGAGGTGGCATTTCGGGCACGGGAACTTCGGGCACCGATATGTAATGTCTGGTTCTCTGGGCTCGGGATCCAGGTGATCAAGCTCCAAAGCGCCCCTGACAATGTGGTCATTTCGCCCTTCCGATTCAGCGCCACTGTCCCCGATCCTCACAACAGCGTCGGACACAGTTGTGCAGTTCACAGCATTCTGCATTCTGCGCGACAGAGTCGACTCTGGAGAACCAGAGCCCTTGGTAGCCTCGTTCCGTGAGCTGCAGATCATGAGGCAGTATTCCATGGGACCAGTTTCACCGGGACCCCTACTTGGGGTCGATTGATAAAGACAGCGGTAATTGGCTGCAGTCTCGTGCATGTGCCAATGGCAGATGGATGATGGATGCCTTTAATCTCGATTTTGAACCTAACAAGAACTGCTGCACCTCAGGGAACGCGTATCCCGTGAAGAAAGTGCAGAGGGACTCAAAGCGAGAGAGCTTACTCTATGACTCGTTTGTGATCTGTCCTAGCTCGTTCATGGATTTATACCATATCTAATCGCAGTAACTCAGACCTCGTTGACATGGACTTTTGCGGACGGTGAGCAATGTCAGGTGTTTGACTTCTGGGAGTTTGGAAATCGATCGCGGAATTTGACTCGCTGGAGAAGACAGGACTTCCAGGGTTCAACCACTCCTGGTAATGAAGAAATGCATGTCATGAACTGACGGATGCTCTGTGGCGATTACGATACCGTCAACCGTGGGTTTGGGTCAGAAAGCTCAGAGGCCGAGTAGTCGATCGTCACATGGGTGAGGATCGCCATACACTTGACAAGCATTTCCAAGGGGCATATATGCCCGAATCAAACAACGTGGGTAGGTCACTATGACCCGACTAATCAAGTGAATAGTTGTGCGACTAACCATGCACTGATTCGCCCAAGTTTCCACCAGATGGTACTTGCGTTGTGCAAGTTGATTCTCTCAGGGAGGAGAGTCGAAGATTATGTCCATTTGATACTCAGGTTGGTCCCTGTAAGCCTGCGCACCGGTTGCATAATTGGGGACTAGTATTGATATTCTATACTCACTATGCAAATATACACTTGTATATAACACAAATATCTCTTTATTCAACTCTATACAATTATTTAGTATCACAAGAATCTAATACTGAAATCTCTAGTTCCATATCACTTTGCAATTGTATCTCTCTCTAACTAACTACTTTCGAACACAATTAGCTATCTTATAGATTGTAATCCTCTTGGTACTACAAATGAATGTAATGTAGGATATTTTTGGATGTATTCATCCAACACTTCCACTCATTCAGATATATTCTATTAAGAATGTTCTATTCTACTTTTTCTTCTACTCATTATTGTGGAATTGTCTGAGCCCAAGTAGAGCATGTAATTTCAAAAAACATCTCTTGGTAAAGCTTTTCTTAAGATATTTGCTATTTGTTGATGTGTATAGATGTATGTGAAATCCATGAGTTTATTTTTGTATTGTTTACAAATAGAAAAATTACTTGATTTTGATGTGCTTTGTTCTTTTGTAATACTTATGATTTTTAATGAAAGCCAGTATAGCTTGATTGTCATAGTAAACCATAGTTGGGAGTTCTTACGTGGCATCAAAGAATTATAATAATGTGTATAATCATGTGGTTTCCTTAGTAGACTCAACTAGAACAACTAATTGAATAATTATTGTGGATATAATTAAGCAACTATATTTATGACTTCCTTAAGTAATAACTTTTGATCCAAGTGTGTAAAAAAATCTAATACAACTTTTTCCATCACCTAAGTTACCCTCAAAATTAGCATTTGCGTATCCAATCAATTTGAGTAGTGGTTTTTGTACATTATAATATAAATCATGATTCTTAGTATATTTTAAATATGACATGATCGTCTTCACCACTATCCAATGACTCTATTAGAGGCATTCTTAGATAAGAGACACTTTATTCAAAGCATAACTAATTTTTGGTTGAGTTATAAGTATTGGATACATGAAACAATCCATGCCTTGGCAATATAGAACATCAACTGCATGGACAATGAGATCACTCTATTTTGAGAGCTTTGCATGAATTTAGCAAGTATTGACACTTCATGGGCTTTTTATAATCCAAAGTGAAGAAGCACAAAAGTGATGTAGAATAAACTATAAATCTATTTCCAATCATTTGGTATCTTAGAAATCCTAGCAGGTACTCTAAATCCTAATTTATAAGTACCTAAGTACTATTTTTTCCATATCTCAAAATTCCAAAATCCAAATGCCACAAAATTTGTGTATAAAATTTAATAGCATGATATTACATATTTTTGAGAGTTTTAGCCAAATTCTTAACAAATTTCTCAAGATATAGCTCAAAATACAATCATTAGTAAATCGGATTACTTATTGCTCTTAGATTGCAAGTGCTGATTTCATCTTCCTATATCTCCTTCATTTTAACTTAGAATTCATCAAAAAATATGTAAAAAGTATAGCCAAAAAAATATTATTTCTAATTCCAATCACCAATTATTTATTACTCTTTGTAAGTATATATTATATTCAAAAGAGTGATAACAGATACAAAATCAACACCTTAACTTTGAGCACCTATATCTCTATCATAAAAACTCCTAAGCACTCAAAATTTATACCAAAACCATAGTCAAAAACCTAAACTTCTTGATCCTAGCCTCCTAAGTTCAAATGGCCTCAAAAGAGTAACCCTAATTTCTAATAAGACCTTATGCAGCCTCCTTGAAGTCCATTGAGTATGAACTTTGGCCAATAACAATGGAGATTTTTATCATCTATCCCCATTCATCCATATGGTTGGCTCAACTACTCTTTTTTATACATAAATCCTTCTCTAATCATTTTTTTAATAAGTTTTGAATAGTATGTAACTTAAATATCAAATATTAGAAAAAAAACAAGATTTCAAGAATCACCAATGTCTAATAAAGGTGGCTTTAAATATATAAAAATTATTATCAACATAAAATCAATCTCAATAATAATATTTTTAAACTAACTACTTCAAATTAGTAATAAAATCATATTTTGTAAATAACTAAAATCTAATAACATGGCTATCATTACATTATATAATAAATTATATATTATTATAATGCTTATATATAATAAATTATATATGTGCATTATTTTTACATGGTAGCTAAACTACAATACAACAACGGTCCATTGCTTGTTGCGAATATGTTGAATCTAAAAATGATATAGCTTCAATATAGGTTTGTAGTTCAAGAATATATTTGCCTAATGATATAAGCATTTCTTTTGAATAAGTGATTGATTTTAAAAATAGAGATTCTAAGCTTACAAATTAAAAAGGTGAAATATATTTGTTACTCTTTGTGGAATTGAGATTGAAAGTTATAAGTGGTCTTATAAATAAAAGTTCTTGTATGATTTTACTTTGATAGTAGAATCTATTATTTGGGGATAGCTCTAGCTTAGAAGTCAAGTACATAGGTTCTATCAAAGAAAGAACATACATAGATGATAAAGAAATATTTTTCACTAGTTTTAGCATATCATTTGTTATTTCTCCTACTAATCAAAAAGATTATACTATGAGGTTGTAATTTTATTCACTTTGTAAGTTAGAATCAACAATAAAAGATTTTTGTAAAGTTACTTCTATTGTTGCTAATTCTAAAGGTGAATTTAATATTAATGCAGACCAATTAATAGTTTGAGTTGATGGTGAAATGTCATAAACTTATACCAAAAGTGATATATGGCATTGATTTTGAAAATGCAGGAGTAATTTTGAAGCATGAATAAGAATATTAATACATGTAGAAAAATAATTGTAAAGTTATTGAAGGTCTCATCAATGCATTAGTTTGCACTTTCAATTACATGATTAATAGAAGGTATCCAAAAATGAT